TTTTTCGAATTGGAACATATATTATAAAATCTGAATGATATCATCTTTCTCTATTCTCTTTCTACTTCATTAATATCACCGAGACAGCAACATGATGGTATGACAACAGAATGAAACAAAAGAATAATCTTCCTTCGCATGGAATCGAACCGCGCATCTCCTGCTTACCGGGCAGTCGTGTTAACCGCTGTACTAGAAAGAAGTGTTTATTATTCTTTCTGTTCCGTCTTATAACTGAAGAGGAACAGTTCAGTCATAACAATTGTCTCGGATTTTTCTTCAGAAACTACAAATTTTTTCTTAGTGCTAAAAAGGACTTTTCTTTACAAGAAACAATGAACTTATCAGAACCGTGTGCTACACTCGAGAAATCTCTGAATGAATTTTTATTATCATATTCGGATTGTAGTCCAAAATAAGGGTGGGAGTGTGGGTGTGTGGCGTGGGTGTGGGTGTGGGTGTGGGTGTGGGGTGTGGGTGTGGGTGTGGGTGTGGGTATGGGTGTGGGTATCAGTTGAGGAGTACTAACACTCACACTCCGCCCACACCCCAAGGGGGAAAGTGCAGGCACCCAGCACCCAGCACCTGCTCAGCACGTATACCGCATTCCACAGTGAGCATCTACGGTACCTACGGCACTTTCAGCATCTTCAACAACTATTCTATTGTCTTAAGTACTTAAGATAATGAAACAATGTTTGCAGGTGCTGAAGGTGCCGTAGGTGCTCATAGTGAAATGCGGTATAGGTGCCGAACAGGTGCTGTAGGTGCTGGCTGGTGCTAATAGGTGTTGTAGGTGCTGGTAGGTGCCGGTAGGTACTGGTAGGTGCTGGTAGGTGCTGAGCAGGTGCTGGGTGCTAGGCGTCTGCACTTACCCCCTTGCCCACACCTCACCCACACCGACACCCACACCCACATACCCACACCCACACCCCACCCATACCCACACCCACACCCACCCACACCCACACCCACACCCACAGACCCACACCCACCCACACCAGATGTTGTATCGGACTAGTTCTGAAATACGTTGACAACTTATTCGTTAAATCCATTTGAGCTCGATTTCTTTATTTCCTTACATTGGATCAAGACAGTTGATTGAATAGACATATTCAATTAGTGCAGAGCTTATGTGACTGAAAGATGCCGTATTCTCAGTAGTAACCCAGATCCAAAAAATGGCAATTCAAGGAAGGGTGTGTGGGTGTGGATGTGGGTGTGGGTGTGGGTATGGATGTGGGTAATGGTATGGGTGTGGGTGTGGGTGAGCGTGGGTGTGGGTGGATGTGGGTATGGATGTGG